CAACTTTTGAGAAAAGGTTAGAGACAAATTCTGCCCATACAGAAATGCCATTCAAAGTCTGCAGAATTTTGAAGGGAGACTTTACCTTAACTTTCTGTGGGGGTATAGCTACCAAGAGGGAGTATATTGATTTGAGTAGAATAAATATACATTCAAGATTCATGCAGCCCAACAAACCACCTCGTTCAGCAGAAAATGACTATTAGCAGAATGGCACAGCAGTAGCTGCACTGGTATAAGTAGTATAAACATTGAAGCATTATGCTGACAAGGGGTTTTGCTCACGGCACAGGAAATCTACTTCCCCAAGAGACTGCAGCTAAGTCGACTGAGTTTTTCCACTGACTAAATGCTGTCGACAAAGGGATTTAGACTGGCCTAATGATGTTGCTCATGGATGTGGATTTTTCACTCTCCTGAGCAACATAGCAAAGTTGACCTAGCTGTCTAGTGTAGACCAGCACTGCACTAAGAAGGAAAGAATTTGCTATGCACATTAATGACTTGAAGAGGTAGCTGTAGTGCTAAATAAAGCTGAATGGCACCCTAAGAGCCATCTAATTATAAACCTGCCATTTGCAAAGGCCTGATTTTCAGCAAGCTGTGCAATGTACCAATGCACCTACCTGGAAGATGGAATAGTGTTTTGTCTGCATAAGTTTCCAGTTCATATGCAGCAAGATAAGCGTCTTACTATTTACATTCAGAAAGTAATAAAAGATTCTCTTGTGCACAGCTTGCTGAAAATCAGGCAATAGAAATGCTATCTAGTCGCTGAAAATTGCGCAATCTGCACATAATTAAAGATATATAAAACCAGATTTCACTGAGTTATTCTAAATGTGAATGACCAAGCCTGTTTACAGAGACTTCAACTCTAATAATGACCAATAGAGTACATGTTTTGATAGCAAAAATATACCAATTTCCATTTTATGCAAACACCTTTTTAAAACTGACCTCTTTTCAAAAATATTTTAGTCTTTGGTATAATCCCTTTTATGGAAGAGGGAACAAAATCCCTAGGGAAAAAAAACCATTCTGCTTTTTGTTTCCCTTTTGTATGCATGTCTTTTTTAGGAAAGGAGAAACTAAGTGGACACTCAGGGTACATTAGTCAAACTGCACAAAGAAAAATGGGAGGGAAAAAAGCATGATTCTGGAGCTTAGCAATTGTAGAGACGAAGTTGAGAAATAAGTGAATCTGTCCAAAAGCAGGAAAACTGAGGACACCAAAGAGTTAGAGAAGTGATACATTTCCTGGCAAGAAGAGTAAATCATGCAGAACTGAGCTGTCTCCAAAGGATAATAGGAGGATCTGCAGGATTGGAAGAAGGGGGAGGGGGAAGAGAGACATCTTCGAGTCTAGAATAAAGACCAACTGCCAGAATCGGTCTTGCCTGAGAATCCGAAACACCACTCAAATTTAACTTTAGTTACTGATTACCAGCTAGATTTCAACAGTAACATATCAGTTTCATGTATATATGAAGATATAAAAAAGTAGTGGGGAGGCAGTACGGAATATGAGGAGGAAGTGGTGGTAAGTGGCCATGTTGAGTAGTAAGTTAATAATGCAGTGTTACAGCTGTGTGTATAAATAAATAGATTACCCAGAACTACCCCCAGTCTAGGGATGTTGGATAGCGTGTAACTGAATAGTCACGTAACTGATAAAATTTCATGTGGTTACACGACTATCTGATGGACTCTGGGGGCAGGGCTGGCAACCAGTGCGCTCCTGGCTCCACATCCAGGGATCCCGCTGCTGCCTCTCTACTGGAGGCAGTAGCATGGGTGGCAGGTGGGAGCTAGTCTGCAAGGGGAGCCCCCCCCATGGAGAGAGGCTGCTTTGCGGCAGCATCCCCCCCCCCATGCAGCATGGGGAAGGGAGGGGGCACCAGATCCTGCCGCCACTTGGAAGAAAGGGAGAGGGGGGAAGGAGGTGAGAGAGGCGGAGGAGGCGGCCCACAGAGCCACCTCCCCACACATTCAGCTCCTGTGCTGCTGCCTCTATCAAATAAGCCCAGGCTTCTCGGTTAACTGCGTAGTCATCTACACATCAACATCCCTACCCCCGTCTAGCCATAATCAATTAGTTTCTTGTAATCATCACTATAAGGAGGATCTTTAGGAGGAATATGTAAATTGTGGAGTCATTTTGCAGACCATCTTACATTCACTGAGGACAGCGTATCATAGGATATCCTAGCTGATACTGGGCAGATTAAAGTACAAAGGTAGCCCAAAAAAGTACAGAACATAGTCCGCAGGTAGGATAGAGGGAGGCTAAAACATTCTAAACTACTTCAGTTGCTTTTTCCTACTACAAACTCCACCCACGCTGCTCTGTCAATCCATCTTAACAGCAGCTTGAAGGGACCAACTCCGAGTGTGAAGGTAAGAGGGAGGTTTCAGTCAGCAGCCCTCTCTCTCCTTTCTCTTGACTGAGTCTGCCAGCCATGTGTGATGCAAACTCCTGGGAAACAGGAGACCTACCTACCTACCAACCAAATTAAACGTTAAAGAACACTGTGCTGAAATGACACTTTTGAGAGCAGTGTGTATAGAGCCATAGTGTAGTGAAAAGAACATGTTCTAAGTCCTAAAATAGCCTACTGCTGCCATAAAACCAACTTTCAATTTAATTTAGGGCTGTCGATCAATGGCAGATAACTCACACAATCAACTAAAATATTAATCATGATTAATTGCTGTTTTAATGGCATTGTTAAATAGAAAACAAATTGAAATGCATTAAATATTTGATGTTTTACTACATTTTCAGATATGTTCAACTTCCAATATAAAGTAATTGCACTACAGTACTTGTGAATTTAAAACGCTTATTTTTTTTTATAATGCAAATATTTGCAATCAAAAATACACTTTGTACTATTTTGTAACAAATATCTGGAAATGCAGAAAACATCCAAAATATTTAATAAATGGTATTATATTAGTTTAACGGTGTGATTAATCACAATCTTTTTAATCGTTTGACAGCCCTAGTTTGATTATATCAATACCCAGTTTCAAAGAACTGAAATTGCTTTGTAATAAGACCCACAATGGCAGGTTACAATGGGATAAGGGTATCTTACCAATCATTATGAACTGGGAATCTGGTGTGAATGATGCTTCCAAAGTTACAGCTTTACTGTTGTTATAACCCTATAATACAAAAGAGGTTAAATGCCTACAAGCCTGTGGCAAAGAACACATCAAACCATACCTCCAGCTGAGGAACAGAATCTCCTCCCCCAAGCATTACAGGCTGCCCTATGCAAAACCCTCCAAGTGCCACAGGAGGGGACAGCACAGATTTAAGAATTAGGTGTGGGTAATCATTTCCCCATCTTTAGCAGAACTTTGAAAGCTCCATTAGATTAATGTAAATATCTTAAGTAATTTCTAAAAGGGAAGGGGAAGAGAAATGTTCAAGGGAGCCAAGATTAAGGGCTTGTCTATGGTACTAAACTGACATAAGGCAGATCACAACAAACTAATTTTGGAGGTGTACTACAAACTACAATGCTCTGCCTGCTGCTTTAACACACCTGCTATGCTGACCTAATAAAACCACCTAGACTTAAAGCTTAGGGAGACAGAGTTAGAGCAAAACAGTGTCAATGTAGACACTGTTGTTTACATTGCTTACTTCAACATATGTGGCCTCCAAGAAGTGTCCCACAATGGCCACTGACTGTCCTTTTAACTCTACTCCCCTTTAAAGCCCCAGGAACTGCAGAGTTGACCATGCCAATGCCATGCAGCAAACACGCTTCTGCCTGAATTACACAGGAGTTGCTGGATCTCTTGGGTCTTTGGGAAGAGGAGTCTGTGCAGTCACAGCTCCACACCAGCCTCGGGAACTTTGACATCCATTCCCAGACTGATTTTTACAAGCCCTTCTCCGTGACCCAAGCAAAGGGCTGCAGCGGGCATATCAAAAGCAAGAGCACCAGTTGCCTCCCTGATGCGGAGCCACAGACATGCTGCTTCTATACACATTCCATGTATCTTCCAGGACCACAGCAGTACCCAAGGCACTTCATCCCATAGAAAAGTAAACATGGCAACAGCCGCATTCAGCTGCAAGAGCTTTGTTGGTGTATATGCTTGTGAATTCCCTGTTCCTTTCCCTTTAAAGGTACTTTCTCCTGCATGTATGAAGTTTACCTCAGTATTACATATGTAGGTTTGCATGGATGTGGAATAAAAATCTACAGATAGAAACTTGAATTTATCTTTATATCCATCACATGTTGTCTGCTATTAATAGACAACAGCAATAGGTGAATGTACACTGTTGTAGTTGGGCTCGCACAGCATTCATTACAAGGTTTATAGAGTGCAAACAATGCTAGTCTCATCACCCTAGAACACCACACATTATTGTGGCTCAGTATTAAAGTGCTCCTTCAAGGCCTCCTCAGCCAAACAGCCGCCCCTGTTACCTCCTCTTATAGCCCAGTGTTCGTAACATGCTCCGTACAAAATAACTGGGCAGGATCCATGCTTTCTGACAGGAAAATCCGGCTTACATTACCACAGCAGCTAAAAAGCAGTTCGATGCCCAGGGAATGATGGGATTGAGAAACCAGCATCATGTAATGCTGATCCTGCCCCCTAGGAGGCATTGCAAACCCTTCCCAAGATACCCAATGAGCAGTGGAATAGTTGCACTCCTCTGTGGCAATGAAACAGCTGATATTTTGGAAGTGCTCCACTGACATAAGGAGCATAGTGTGGAAAGGCAATGGCAGTTTAATTACAGCAATGGCTGTACGTTCATGTAACTTAAATAACGTAGACAAGGCCTAAGGTAAATCGGGACCAATCAGCAGCAAATTATTACAGAAGCCCTTTCTTTAGCACTTCTGTCATCTACCAGGCATCAGCTATCTCTATTAGTGCAGCTGGAAGGGAGCTCTAAGAGACCTCCCCTGGAACGCACGGAACTGAAGTGTTTCATCAGCTAAGCTAATAAATGCAGCACATACCCCATCCCTGACAAGGATGTAGCACAATGACAGTGCAGTTTCCAAGAAGGCAACCAAGACAGCCCGCTCACCCCAAACGTATGCAGTACAGCTCCCTTAAATGCATCGATCAGTCGAAGGAACCCTCCATTGGTTGATATGAGGATGAGCTTCCCGTCATTACTGAACTTCAAGCCTGTCCACTCACAGGTTCGATCATACTGCATCTTGAATGTAGCAAATGGACCCTTCGAAAACAAAACAAAGAAAGTGGTGGACGGGGATGATTTGGATGCATTCCCAAACATTTACTTTGTAGGTGAAAGTCTGTATTGCCAGCACAGGAAAACATTTTAGATTCCTAAAAGGAAGAAAACCAGACTAATATTGAACAAGTCAGTACTAGCTGCCATGCAAAGGATGGCAAGGAAGAGGAGCAACAACCTGTCATACTCTGATGCAGCCGTGTTTGACATGCCACAATTCTGTCATCTCCAACAGCAACTACACCGCAACAGGATGTTTAGGAAACTTGCGGTTTCACCACCATAAAGGAAATGACCATGAACGAACATTTGGTTTACCAGGACAGTCACTAGAGAAAAGAAACAATTCTCACATTACACCTGACTATACAGAGAAATGGGGGGGGAAGAGGGGGCAGGGGAAGATACCATGTTTCCATTTGCCAACAGGGGCCCCAAACCTAATTTCAACTAAGGGCTACTGTTGCTATGATCTAAAAACAGAGCTGTTCTCTGTTTGTGTGTGGCTACTGTCACCCAGTTAGTTTACCTTCTCTCTCTGATGTTGCTACCAAGACCACCTCACACACGTTATACCAGCACAGTCAGCAAGAAGGAAGAAACATTAACTAGTGCTTCCCACAGGTAAAAGAAAGCCTGAAAAATGGGTTAAAGATCCAAGATCTCAGATAAAGGAAAGTGAGTATAAATCAGTACTGATTAAGTTGGTGGAAGGAGCATGCAGATGCACAGACAGACTATAGAGGAGAAAACATGTTGGAAGAGCAAATGTAAGAGAGGAATAGATAGACGAGTGAGAAGAGGTTGTGTCAATAGACACAAAGAGTTGATCTGGGAACTCAGATTTTAATAATTCTCTGGCTGTGGGGTTTAAACCAGAATGAACTTAGTTGTAGGTCCAAAATGGGATTTAAAGATCTGGTGGTGGCACCACTTTGTATAAGTGTTTCTTGTACAAATCTCTCCATGTATTAATCATCTCAGTTCTCCTGGTTGTAGTTCATGCTGGGATGTTTTAAGGGATATCCCAAGGCCAAGGTTTATATTCACAAGAAACAGCATGCCAAGTGTCAGAAATGCATCTAGCTTGTCTCTTACCTTGTCAAAAGAGCGAAGATCATACAACTTCACCATTTCAGAATTGACCCCAGCAGCAAAGATGAGCCCCTCTGGGTCAAAGGAGCATACAGGCTTTCCCTGAAGATGCATTAAACCCTAGAATATGGAAAACAGTTAAACACAAATTCAAATTAATGCATGCCTGTATTTGGAAATCTATTTCTGACAGCTCCCTCAGTATACACAGAACCATCAGGGCAATCTACAGATAGAGCAGCTGGGTTTTCAATTGTCAGTCTTAATCTTTCAATGGCAGCTTCTCATGTCCCACACTGTCAGTCATCTCAATTCTGTACAGAGTATCAACAAAGAGGCTGGAGAAATTGCTAATTCAGAAAAGGTCTGAGGCATCCTTAATGGCATGTGGTAATTCTAGGACAGTTAATTTAACACATGCTGAAGTTAGAAGGTTTGGGACAGAGATGAGACTTTATGTTGACTTCACTGTTAGGATTAAATAATCGGTTCCTTCTAGGAATAAGGAATTAACTGATCTAAATCACTGGTGAGGAAAATTAGGAAAACATTCAGCTACATTCCCTGCTCAACACTCATCAACATCTACTCTAGGAAAAACAAGTGGTCCTGTGGCATCTTGGAGACTAACATCATGAGCTTCCATGAGCAAAACCCACTTTTCTCTTTCATTCTACACAAACTTGCACTACTTTAACTACAAGTGTTATGTTAAATAAATGTAGATATCCTAGCACAACTCTGTTTAGTGGACATTCTTTTATCAATTTAGTTAAACTGGTAAACATTATGCAGAGACAAGCACTCAGCACAGACCTGCAAAGCAGGGGAAATTTAGACTGGTAAACTAAAAATTACACAGTTGCACATATGAGATGTCAAAGAACAATGACATGTCAGCACAACTGCTGACTTTCATGAAGACCAAGCTAATGCTCAGAATGCAAGAATCTTTTACCAATATGTGCGCTACCTAAATGAGAAAAAAAGTGAGGTTTCTCAGTTAAAGGATTTATTCTTAGTTAGGTATAACTACAGTATGAGTAAAAATCAGTTTTCAGCCTGTCCTCATGAATCAATGACTGTCTCCCCAGAAGCTCTGTGCTTCCACTGAGAATAGAGACATGTTTAGGATCTGTCAGTCTCTTCCATGAACATTTTTCAATACTGCAAATTATGCAAGAGGTAGGTCATGTGAATGTCAGGTACTTTCAGTGTCCACTTTATGAGAAGAGATATTCAAATGTATGCTTTGGAGAGATTTTACTGTGAAACCAGAAATATGAAGTACAGCATAATGGAGGTAACTTGCAGATTTAAAATAATAATAATAATAATAATAATAATAATAATAATAATAATAATAAATAAAGATTGTGATTTTTGTTTTTAAATAAGGGCAATTTAACTAAATGTTGATCTCATGACCTTGTTTAGCATTTGTTTACTATTATCCGTACCTATTTGTGGTCTACTTTTTCAGCTCCATGTTATTAGGGGTTCCGCAAAATTATTTCGAGTTTAAAAGGGTTCCAAAGCCAAATAAAATTGGGAAACACTGTGCTATAGCATTGGATAACTGTCAAATTAGCTATAGCATACAAAGCTCTCGAAAGAATAAGAGCTTACCACAGACAAGGTTGCAGAGCCAACATGGGATGAATCTTCCAGCTTCACTAAGTTTAACACAGCTGAGAATCCATGGGATCCTAATGGCTCTACTAAGTTAGTGTATTTAAATACTTAATGTTTTTCATTTTAAAACTAAAAGCCAGAGCAATCAAGGGGTCCCATTCTGTCACCACTGATTCCAAGGTACATGGGAAATTTCTAAAGACGACAGTTTAAGGCTACAATGCCATTAACATGTGGACTATATCCATCTAGCGCCTTTGTTTCATCAGTCTAGCTCCTTTGTTTCATCAGCTTCAGAAACTGCTGATGCTTTCTTGCTTTTTCAGCACTTCCTCAAGATAGGACTCTAGAGGAAAGTGAGTGATGACAGTGTATGCACAAAATGAATATCTAAAGAGGTATTCTGACTGAAATGACTTCTTATGAATTCCAGGAAGTGCTGGTGGGGATCATAAAATAGTATAAAACCCAAACCAACTTTGTACCCTACAACCAATTTTTCATCATTTTAAACTTTCTTTTTCTTGCACATTTCACAACTACCACCAGCAGACAGGCAACTCTCCCACCTGGCAATTTGGAGACCGGAGATCCCAAAGTCGGATAGTTTTATCAAGTGATCCAGAAATAAATGTATCATCCACTGGAGACATAGACAGAGCAACTACTCTGCAATACAGAAGAGTAAATAAATCAGAACTCACACAAGTGTGCAAGTAAGTTAGCAATGTAAGTAACAGGATAAAAGTTTGTATTTTTATGCCATAAGAAGCACAGTGAATGAAGTCTAATGTGGTTTAGGTTCTTTACAACACTACTTTAGTCCTCTTTTGTTGTGCTTCAAAGCCATCAAGATCTTGAACACTGAAACGTCTCATCACATCGCTTACCTCTTGCTGTGCCCTGGAAAATATCGGATGTATTTATTATCATGTAGGGAGAGATAACGGATTGTATCTGCAAGAAAATATAAGAAACCCATAAGCAAATGTACAAAAAGCCTTCTCTATCAGATAGCAATGATGGTCTTGTTTTCAAGAAAAATATTAAAATGGTATCAACTGAATGAGAAACTGAAACCAAGCAGCCGGATGGGGATGGAAAAAAAAGCTAGTGAGAATGTTCCCAATGGTCTGGTGTGAATACAAATACTTCATGTAATGTAAATGAATTGCTGAGACGTACACAGTTCTTAAAGCCAAAATTATTGAAACAAAATAAAAAGTAAGTAATTCAAGTTTTTACTTAAGCATTTCTCACAAAATTACAGCTTGCTAAAAGCTGGTGACAGCATTTCCTGTTGGAAAGCAGAGTACAGATTTGCCATGTAAATGCCATGTTCTGCTAATGCAGCCATGCAGGAAGAACTGTTGCCAGCTATATAATCATAGCAAAGATGTGAATTCTGCCACTCAAAATGACAATGAGGCCACATCTATAAGTATAGCATCTGGTGAAAATAAGAGAACTCTCCCATCAGCATTAAAACCTCCACCTAGGTGAGTGGCATAAGTTATGTCACTGATAGAAACTCTCCTGCCAATACAGCACTGAGCACATGAGCGCTTACGGTGATGTTATTTATGTTGCGCAGAGGTACAGAATAGTCAAACCACTAAGTGGCATAAGTTTTGCTAGCACAGGCTGTAGCGTAGACACAGCCCCAGATGTGACCTTCAAAGCAAGGACCTTTACATATTGTTAAGCACAGGCATTAAAAAACAACCAGATGGAGAGGCTTTTTCTTTTTAAACCAAACACGTGTTGCTTTTGTGCTTTCTTTGTACCTCTTTCTGACTGGAAAAAGCTTTGGGGTAAAGGAGGAATACGTGAAAAGAACAGAAGGAAAGACACTTTTCATCTAACAGCAATTTCCTTATAAAAATGTAATATACCATGGGACAGATTTGACCATAGTATTTTGAAATCAGTAATTATTTTATGTGGTCTTCACTGAATATGGACAACAGTACTAACAACATTTCATTCCAAATTAAAAGAATTCTGCAGAACATAAGCCGTTAGAGTTCAAGTGTTGAGCATATGGACCACTTTTACTTGCATATGCATTTGTGAATGGAGAAGCATAAACAAGACTAAATTAAGCCTCCAAAACCAGCAGTAAATTTCTACTATGGGAAATAAAAAGAGGGGATAATAAAAGCAGCTATCCCCTTACTAATTTCTCTCTTAAATTCATCTTGTTTTAGAAACAAAGATGGACAAAGAGACAGACTGATGTTATAGGCAATCAAAGCTTTATTTTTGTTAATCTTTGGTTCCACAAGTGTTTATTCGAGTTATGTTCAATACTGTTACATTAACAAATGGTGCTGAGCCTGCAACATTAATACAAAATTAAGGTAAAAGGTGGAAAATTCTCTTTTCACCGTTGTTGCTACAATACTGGCTGGCTAGCTAGCTAAATGACTTTTGCACAAGACAGAGTTAGGGTAATGAGTTTGTAATCTGTCTGGAACATTCTTGAACTCTGGAAAGCTAGAACGTTTTTATAAAGGCATCTCTGTGTAGAATATGTTTCAGGCAAAATCCCTCAAATCCATCAATTCTGACAGATTTTCCTTTAAGTCAGCTGAAGTCAGAGTTCTGCACTGTCCTCTAGAGTCTGGAAACAGAACTTTAATGTGCTTTGTCTCAGAGTCACCAAGTCACTCAGACTAGTGTACCATTCTGAAAGGCTGCTTCTCCTTTGGAATACCTTCAGATTATTGTCAAATTACATTAGTCAGTCTACCAAAATCAACAGTTTTACGTCCCATTACTGTTAGTACTGATCTGCTTTGACATGTGGTGTGTATTCCTAATTCTTCTGCACTTACCTGTTTCAGAAGAATGAAGTCAGAATCTCACCTTTCTCTGCTAAATACAAACCATTTATGAAGCATAAGCGGGTGATCCTTTTAGTCGACAGTGCTCTGTCCCAGGCAAGGCAGTGGCCTGTACAGTTATCTCCTATACCGGGTGGTATCATAGACCCTCAAACTGTACAAACTACTACCTCAGCCTGGAATTAGGCAAGAAGAACCAAGTTTGAAACTCTTGAGGAATTCTTCAGAAAGAAGTGGATCAGAAACACCTGTATATATATTTTAGTTTTACACACACACACACACACACACACACACACACACACACACTTGTGTGCAAATACCAGCCTTCATACAGTAAAGGAATGACTTGATTTCACGCCTTCTCTTTCTGTAAATGCAACATTCTGAAAAGTTAATACTCCGTACATTTGCTCATAGTTTCACTCATTAGGGACTACATGGAGTATGGACCAGCATCTGGACTGTCACAGGAGGGAAGCAGGGCAGTCTTCCTCAAGTCAGTTTACTATTACTTGAAGTACAAACACCAGCAATAAATTGTGTGTAATTATTTTCTTTCTATCATCTATTTCTATCATACCTCTCTCTCCTCCTCACCACTTAATTGGTTAACCTGTTAAACTTAATTTTTAACTGGTTACCTAATTAAACAGGATTTTAATTCCTATTCCCTTCAACTACTAAACCATGTTAACTCCAATGTTTATAGTAAAGAGGAAACTAAATTAACAAGAGGTCATTACGGGGATGTCTACACTGCAGAGGAAGATCAAAGCTGCCGCTGTCGATCTTCCAAGGTTCAAATTAGCAGGTCTAGTGAAGACACACTCATTCAAACTGAGTGGTGCAGAACTACTGGCATCGACCCAAGAAGTAAGGGAATACCAAGGGTGAGTGTGCTCCCTTCAACTTCCTACAGTGCGGACAGTTCCAATAGTCAAGTTAAGGTACTTAGACTTTAGCTAAGCAATTACTGTAGCTGAAATTTTGTATCTTAATTCAACCTTATCCCATAGTGTAGACATACCCTATGTGTTAGGGAAAATCTTTGAGTTCCGCTTTAAAGATGAACATGTCAATTTGCCACTGTCCTAGAGACTGCTAAAAATGAACCATTCACGTCAGTCAAGAATCCACAGCTTTCCCCAGCCCTCTACTGCTGTTTATCTGGATGCACCATCTTAGTGCAGAAAGATTAAATATGCTGAACTATAATAGGTCACTTACCATCTATTTTGTTGGAGCTATACACCACAGTGTTGGCAGCATGTGTGTATCTGATTAGGTCCACTCCATACTTTTTACTGTACAGCGTTCTCTTTGGTCTGTCAGAAGAAAATATAAAAATATCCACTTCAACACAAGAGCTCAAACTGCAACCTACTGACTGTTACATTTACTATCTAGCAACTGAGCACTATAAATCCTTTGCAGTATCCAGGTCCTTTTATATGATGAAGGAAAACTGTTCAAAATCTTTAACACTGGTAAACAGAACCAAAAGGGACCATGTCACACAGCACACTAATGAATTAGCTTTCCATCTCCGGGGACCTATATTAAAATCCTAAGGTAATTAATAGGACTCATTTTAGTTTCTAGTGGACAACAATCATGGCAGAATTTGACATTTGCTCATGCCAGCTCATGAAACATGTAATTGCAGGGCTGTTTTAAGCTAGGAATGGGCACTTGAAGTTGACAAAGTAGTGTGGTATAAGCTACAGTATGAGACACTAAACCTTATGGCAGTCTGTGTGCATGAATTTAGCAATAGTGAAAGCAAGGAACAATCACACTACAGAAATGTAGCTTGGCTTCTTTGCCACTAACTTAAATAAACCCAAACCTCACTTCTTAGCAAGGATTCATTCTTAAACAGTGGATCTGCTTTAGGAAACCTGTTGTGAACATCTTTGAAATTTCTTTCACCAGCTAAAAGGCCAATTAGGGATGTTAATTTTGACTAAGTAATCAAATACTAGTCAATGGAAATTCTACTGACTACTTGATGAGTCAATAAAGGGGCTACTCACTAGCCCGTTGCGCCTCACCCTTTGAAACGTACAAGAGCCACGGGTGGTTCTTGTACACTTCAAAGGGAGATGCACAGCAGTAGGGATGCCTTTGCTTCCCCTGCCCCCTCTGAAGCCAGTGCTCTCTCTGAGGCAGCAAGGAGGGGGAGATAGACTAATCGACTGACTACTTGACTATCCGATAAACTTATTGGGTTGGTGACTAGTTGCTTACATCCCTAAGGTCAATACACAAATGTTATTGGGAGAGGGGACCCCACACATACTATTTGCTTCCAATACTGCAAAATTTCAGTACTCTCTATATAAATGTCCTGACTTTCAAGAGCCTCAGTAAACGCCTAAATATGCTAGAAGAAGTTTTAAGATACAAACTCATCTGTTTTGTTTTCAGAATACAAAAGGACAAACTAACTGCAACATACTACAGCAGTGGTTTTCAAACTATGGATCGTGGACTGTCATGCATTGGGTCTCATTGCTGCAGGGAGGTCAGGTGAGCAGTGGGGGTGTTAAGGTAGCTACCGGCCTGTATTGGCACCGCAGACTGTGCTGCGCCCCAGAGGCAGCTGGCAACAGGGACAGCTCCTAGGCTGGGGGGAAGGGAAGAGCACAGAGGGCTCCGTGCAATGCCCCTGATGTGAGCACTAGCTCCTCACTCCCACTGGCTGGGAACTGCTGCTGGGTGATTCTGGGGCATAGACCATTCTATGTTGCCACGACAGGCAGGAATCTGCCTTAGCACCCCAGAAACACTCGAGGTAAGCCTTTCCTGCCCCAGCCCTGAGTCCACGCCCCAGAGCCCCTTCCTATACCTCACAGCTGTCATCTTCAGCCCCACCCTGGAGCCCACACTCTAGTCAAATTATGTTGGGTCATGGGCATCAATTTTCTTCAACAGGGCCATGAGAAAAAAAGTTTGAAAACCACTGTAACACAGGGCTATGTTAGTCTGTAACAGGAAAAACTTAACAACAAATAGTCTAGGTGGAGCACCTTAAAGACTAACAAAACGTTGTGTTAGTCTTCAAGGTGTTACTAGACTATTCAGTTACCATTTTCACTGTAACACAGTATAAGGTTTCTGTTTCTGCTTACAACCAGAGCAAGCTCAAGGATGTAAAGTGCCTAAATCTGAACGCAATATGACATGTTTTCTTATGTATAAGCAAGTATTAATTCAAAATTTCCATATATACTGAGTGACTTAGTATTAAAACTTCAAATTCTAGGAAACAAATATGTTACTAGCCCACTCTCTCCCATTTCATATATATTCCAAGTCATTCTACTACAGTTTACCTTGTCTGTACCGCTGATCAAATTAGCAAACAGTTTTTCAAGTGTTACTGGCCCCTGTACCCCATCACATCACATTTAGAATGTCTCTCCACTCTTTAGAATCCCTATAACTCAAGCCAGCTTGGGGAAAATCATACTATTCAGAGACCTAGAATAAGTATAAAACAGATAGCGGAATGACTTCAGGCACAGTCACACAGATTTGTTAGGCAGAGTGACTAAAGGAGCTAAACTACAGTGCAGCAAAGAGTTGCCATGCCTCACAGACAAGGAGAGGAGAAATGATTAAGCAGAGCAATAAAACTGAGCTGCTAGGCAGAGGAAAGGGTTAGGAATAAGCGAAGCTGTCTTGTAGTTTGATGAACAACCTCAAGAATCAATTCACTGAAGACACAACTTTCCTTCCTATACTTGCACTAGATCTCTAAACAATATGATTCATATTCATATGATTACTCTTTGGCTCGTGAAATGTACAGAAACAGAAAATTGTGTCATTTTGTCCATTTGAAGCTCCTATTACTCGATTGCTCCATATAAAACAGAAGGAGATCCAAAAGCTTGTTTAAAAAAAATGGATTACTGTCACCAAACAATTTCAATATGAGAGATTTTGAAATATCTTGCCACTTGTTAGCCAAAAGTGGCCTTAATCCTGGACCAAACAATACAAACATGCTCAACATAAAATATTTTAGAGACCATTACAATGTGTTAGGGATGTTAAATTGTGTGTAATCCAGTAACCGCGTAGCCAACAAATATTTTGTCGGTTAACCACTGCAGCTCTGTGTTGCAATAGATTGTGAACCAGTGGCCAGGCAGGCTGGTTCACACCAGATCCCAGCAGCTACTCCTGCTGCTGCTTTATTTTTCCTGCAGAGCCCTAGTGGTGGTAGCTGCCAGGACTCGGTACAAGCATGCCTGGCTGGCCCACTAAAAAATTTACTTTCAGAGCCGTTGGAGGAGGGGCAGAGCACCTCGGTGCATAGCAGGTAGCGTTAAACAATAAGCATCTGCTTATCAGTTAATTATTTAAATGGATAACACTATTACATTCCTACAATGTGTCCTAGGGACATTCTCAGAATTAATACAAAGAGTCTTGTTTGTAGCAAGAGTCAACACATATCAGTTCAGTACAAGTTAGGTAACTTTGATCTTCTGGATGCAGCAATTAATATTGATTAATCATGTTTAAAGGCATAGCAATTGGAATGTCCTCTCAGTGATGCTGCATTCTCCATAACCACAGACTTGTACTTGCTATTCTGGATCTCAAAAAACATTGTCTATATCTTAAAGTGTAAATTTGTTTTGAAAGAATGTCATATTTAACAGATTAGGTAAAAAATAGATAACTAAGATAAGCTGATGCCTTTGAGGCAACTGTAAGTAATTTTGGAGCCATCCATACAGGGATGCTGGGTTTTGAGTCAAATCACTACACAAATCTTTGGAGTTGTCTCCCATATGGACCATGCAACAGAAATCAAGGACTAATATAGCCCAATTTAGATGCATGTATAAAATCAGGCAAATATAAGGGCACTGTTTACCAGGATTAACTTCACCATTTCTCACATTTCAAGGAGATTATCTCCTTCTGAGACTGATTTTTCTGACCTGTAAAAGCTTAAAATTACAAAAGAATCCTAGTGTAGAAAAGGTTATACCAAAATGAAAGGTAAGTGCCCGTATCTGTAGAACTTACTGAGGTTTGTCAAAGTGAAATAAGTTACACAGGTTTCAAGATTAAAGATCCTTATACTAATAGGGCTGATAAAGGCAGCCCCTCACCGACAGTAGTCTGGTAGATCTTATTGAGTTTAGACCAGGCATTTGCAAAAGAACACAGCAAAGAAAGTTCATCATCAAGTTTCATGCTATCAAGTTTCACATAGTATAGCAACCATCATTCACAACTACTAGTGCTTTGAGTCCACACTATGGCCTCGTGATAAGTGAAATAATCTAATATAGCAAGGTACAAATTAAGTGTACCTCCAGGCCACTTTACAAAAATAAGTAAAGGACAAAAGTGCCTTATATCAACAGATGTCTTCAAAATTGAACCTATTTTCAAATTCACAAACAACAGTGGATATGCATGTTATAACAAATCCTGTAATGACTAGGCAATCTATACCTCCAGATACATCTACTCTGACAAATGTTCGTTACATGCTTCTTAACATCCCTAGTTAAAAGATAATTAATCAGTCATGTAGTCGATAAAAATGGTCAACTACACAATTAATTCATTAGCACTGGTACAGCAAGCACTCAGTCCCAGCTTGAGCCATGTCCTGGCAACTACCCTCACTGCAGCTCTGCACTAGAAGCACTTAGGAGCCAGCATCTGGAGAGGCTGGGTCCCCGGGGGGGGGAAACCCTGGCTCCTTAAGTGTGTCTAATGCAGAGCTGCAGCTGGGGTAGTTGCCAGGACACAACACAAGCTGGTACTGAGCCAGCTTGCCAGCCAGGCCACTAAAAAATTCACTCTCAGAGCCTCAGGGAGAGGAGGAGTTGCACAGTGCCAATAGCATTAACTGATAAGCATCTGCTTACAGCTTAATTGTTTACCCAGCTACACTATTACATCCCTACTTTTAATACTGCAATATCAAACTATGGATTTTCCACAATAACCTTCATCTAAACTAAGGATGTTAGGTATCGAGTAAGTGACTAATCATGTATTTGATACAATTTGAATCGGGTACACAATTAGTCGATAAGGGGACACAGACTCTGTAGTTTAAATGTAGTAGGAGCTGGATGTACATGCAGTGGAAGTAGGCCCAGGACTGCTTCAGTACCAGCTTGCACCAGGTCTGGACTACTGTGGCTCTGCCTTCTAAACGTATTAAGAGCCGTTTGGCTCTTACTACATTTAGAAGGCAGAGGTACAGTGTGGGACCTGTAGTAAGAGCCAGTCCCGGCTCACACCAGATCGCCTCTGACTCCCCTGCTCCCACCCTGCAGAGCGGGTGCTGGGTGGAGGGGATAAACCAGCTTTTAAGGCCCATTCCTCCCCCGCACTGGTGCCTACTCCCTCCTCCCCCCACACTGCCCGTTTGGCTCTTACTACATTTAGAAGGCAGAGGTACAGTGTGGGACCTGTAGTAAGAGCCAGTCCCGGCTCACACCAGATCGCCTCTGACTCCCCTGCTCCCACCCTGCAGAGCGGGTGCTGGGTGGAGGGGATAAACCAGCTTTTAAGGCCCATTCCTCCCCCGCACTGGTGCCTACTCCCTCCTCCCCCCACACTGCCTCTAGACCGAGGGCGGGGGGGGGGGGGGGGGGATGCTAATAGTCAACTCGACTACTCTTTTACATCCCTAATCTAAACAAGTCCTCTTCAGGACATGACATGGATATAAATGGATGGCCCAAATGTAACTACATTCCAGTCCCATCAAGCTTATGTCTATTCAATTGAAGTTGATCTAGGAACAGTACAATCATGGAAAGTCACAGTAACTGCTCATCAGCTCCAGCCTTAGTGGAGGATGTTCAAATCAAAATGTAGATTTCAAAGCTAGTGGATAACCATCTATGATGTTATTCTGGTATTAGATTATTTTAACTTGAAATTAATTATAGTCTTAGTTTAGGCTCAAACAGGTAGTGACAGTAACATTTTAATTTGTATGAAAGCAAAGACATACTATGCATGAAAACAAGTATTTAAAAAAATTTACACAAAATAGTCCAAAACAGAACAACCAGAATGAAGAGAGATGCCATGCAATAATGACAGTAGTGACAAGAGTTTGTTTTAATTTGCTTGACAGAAGAAAAACACAACAAAGTAACCGACTACCATGTTTTCTCATCAGATAATCACAAACCACCTCTCCCTACTCATATGGGCTAGTATTTTATTGGCTAGTTCCACACAACCTCCACTCTGCTGATTGTCCTCTTTATCCACTTATCCTACAAGGGTGTATATTTTTTCCTTTAACCACCTCATGAATGTCATGCAGCCTACTATGGTAATTCATGCCACTGCACTCCTTTCCTTATTAAAATCCTAAACATTCACCTCTACACAGCATATAATTTGAGAAAGTTGTTTTAAAAAGCCTTTATGTATCGGTTATCCTACTCATTCCTTGTCCGGTTTCTCATCCTACTTCTGGTTACACTTGTGTCACACCAAAATAGGGACCATGTCTTTGTTTTTTGTAAAAACAAGGAGTCTGTGTCAGGTGGTTTTTACCCATAAATGCTTATAACCAAATATATCTGTTGTTTTTACAGATCGAGACTAACACAGCTACCCCTCCATAGCTTTGTTTTCTGTGATACTCCATGCTTAATTCTGGAACCTATAACACCACCACACACAATATTTGGCACACTGCTGCCACACCAGAAAGTGGAACTTTGAGAAAAACTGAGTAACTGCACCAGGATATTTTTTCCTGAAATAATTTAGGACTTCCAGTTTGACTCACTTTGATATGAGTCTTACAGTATGTGAATTATTAGAGCCCTGAAAATCCACAGGTATCTGCATCCATGGATGAGGATATCCATGACTCATTTTTGCAGACAGGGATGTGGGACTCTATGCATCATGTATTCCATCTATAGTTGTCCTGTTCCCAAAACATGATAATTTAGAACTGATTAATGTATATATACACACAATTTTCTTATACTGAATCAGGTAGTGCATTTTTCAAGTGTTCTGTACATTTCTATTATTTATTCCTAGGATGGATGTCCTACTGCATGCTCCAAGGAAGGTTCCCAGAAGAATTTTATTCATTCCCGTTAATCAAAATTATGCTTCAAAAATTCTAATTTGTCGGAATTCATATTTGTTCAGTTTCTGAAAAAATCTGCATTCCTCTCACTATAGAGTAGACTCATGCACATTTTAATTCTAGCTTGTAGGTAAAGATGCTAACTACTCAAAAGGGGTTTACACAAAGCACAGTAAACGCCTTTCTTGCTACGTAATATTGGCAATGTATTTTAGTGGAATGCCAAATAGTTTTTAAAGTTATCGGGCATGTATAGTGTGCCATATTCAACTATGAAGTTAAAATAAATATTAAAAAAGTTATATCTAGAACGGGTTGCCATTTTAAAAGGTACATCAAAACAGTTTATTTTATCCAATTCATTTAAAGCCAAACAGGGCACTTAACATGCCCAAATCAAATGTTTGCTCTCTGACTTAGATATTCAATGGAAAGACTCATCAATAAATGAGTCTGCGACCATGGGTAGTCAACAGTAGGCATATTCCTCAAAAGAAAAATCAGGGCAACTCCACTAACTTCAAAGTTGGACATATATAAACTCATCTGTAAGTATGTACCTATAAACTGTACTAACTAAATCTGAGAAAGTTTGAAAAATCCACTCAGAGAATGGAAAGATTTCTGTGATCAGTGAAAAGTCCTAAGCCATCAATTAATTGAGAAGTTTAACTCTCTTTAAACAAAAGACAGAACTACGTAGCACTTTAAAGACTAACAAGATGGTTTATTAGGTGATGAGCTTTCGTGGGCCAGACCCACTTCCTCAGATCAATATGTGGAAGAAAATCAGCACAACCATATATACCAAAGTGATACAATAAAAAAAGTGAACGCATGTGAAATTGACAAATCAAATTTTAGAACAGAATGGGGGTGAGGGTGGAAGGTAAGTTTCTGTGAGGTAGTGACATAGGGGTGATAATAGGGGAAGTTTCTGTGAGGTAATGACATTAGGAGTGATAATTAGGGAAGCTATCTTTGTAATGGGTGAGATAATTAGAGTATTTGTTTAAACCCATACATAAACTGTCAAATTTAAGCATGAATGAGGAAGTGGGTCTGGCCCAGGAAATCTCATCACCTAATAAACCATCTTGTTAGTCTTTAAAGTGCTACATAGTTCTGTCTTTTGTTTCAGCTACACCAGACTAACACGGCTGCATCGCTATCTCTTTAAACAAAATTCTAGCCTCATAGTTGTAAAAATAGTAACCATCCAAACATGAAGCAAAAGACTTCTTAACTACAATGCTACATTTAGAAGCTGTGAACCTCCACACTTTCGTCTCCACTGCTGGCAGTAACACTGAAAGTTTTAGTGTAGATGGACTCCAGTGCCCTTTCACAATGTAAGGCAAAATCTAATAAAAATAACCTTGTTCTCCCTGCTGTTGACGCTCCATTTGCAAATCCGAATTATTCTAACTTTTCAGTTTTATATGCTCGTTAGATAAAAAGCAGAGAGGGTTCCCTAGGCTGCAGACACACAATTACAACGTTTTCAACTACTGCTCAGAGCTCTGCCCCACAGCAGCACAGCCAAACACATCCGAATCTCTTGCCACCTTCACTTTTGCGACCAACGGCCTTGGTGCCAGAAGAAAAGCGAACCCAACAGGATGCCAGTTTCACTCAGCAGCTTCTACCTGGGGAACAACTTGAGCATCAGCATCGCAGGGGACTCGTCTCTGCACACTCAGGTGGTTGCCTTCCCCGCCTCCTAGTCTTTCGCATCAACCATTAGCTGGCAGCTTTAGCGCTCAGCCAGAGCTATTCTTCGGCCTTCCTGAGCCCGCCTTTTCTCCCTCACCTGGCCAGGCGGATATTCCCCGGGGACCGATCCCTCCTGCTGCCCTCGCCCAGCCCCCGGGAAGCAGCTCTCCGGGCAGCTCAAATATCACCTACCTGCACGGGAGGAGGCTCCCGCAGATGCCCCCCCCTCCCCGACCTGCCCCCGGCGGCCCGCCCCGCCACTCACTTGCCCTCCTGGCAGTCGTAGAGCACAATGGAGTCGTCGTCGCTGCTGGAGATGACGGTCTCGCCGTTGGGGCTGAAGTCGAAGCAGTTGATCTTGTCCGAGTTCTCGCGGAAGACCTTGGCCACGCGGAAGCTCCGCAGCACGTTGTCCGTTAGCTTCATGCCGCGGGGGAGGGGCGGCGGGCGCGAGCGGGGCCTGAGGGAGCCGGGCCGGGGCCCAGCGGGAGCCGGGCACGGAGGACGCCGGGGAGCGAGGGAGCCGGGCGGCGGCCTGAGGCCCGGGAAGCGGCGGCGAAGGGGAGGCGGGCGGGGGCCTGGAGCACGCGAGACTGGGGCAGGCGGCTTCGGCGCGGGCGGGCGGGCAGCGCCCTCAGGCGGGGCCGGCTCAGGCTGCGGAGAGGCGGCTCCTGCTCATTGTGTCCGCCATCTTCCTGCTACAGGGACACCGCGGGGGGAGGAGGGGGCGGCAGCGGCGCATTGTGGGGAGGAGGGGGGCTTGGGAGGCAGCGGAGGAGAGGAGAGCGGAGGAGCAGCGCATTGTGGGATTGGCGAGGCGGGAGGGCTGGAGGGAGCAGTGCATTGTGGGATGCCGACAGGCGGGGGGCCTCGGGATGGGGACTTGGACCAGCAGTGCATTGTGGGACTCCGGACGGGGACGTCATCCACCTCCGGCTGGCCCCGGCGGCCATTTTGTGTGTGGCGGGAGCCCTACTTCTCCCCCCTCCCCGGGGCGGGACAGACGTGTGATGGCTGCAGTAGCCCCTCCGTGGGGAAGCTACGCTAGAGGAGAGGCCGCCTGCGAGGAATGGCCCAGAGTCGTACAGCAGTAGCTAGGCCCGCGGCACTGAGCTCCCTTCCCGCCCTATTCCCTGGGCCACTAACCTGCCCTCTCCTCAGTACTAATGCAGCCCTAAAGCTGGCCACTAACCTGCAAGCCTGGACACCGGGCTCTTGGCTCTCAACACGGGAACCTTGCAGCCTCCTCCAACAAGGTTCCCGTCTCTCTCACCAGCAGGGCTGTTGGTCCAACAGAGGATAGTACTTCAGCCACCTTGTCTCTGGAGCTCAGGAGGCAGGCTGGTTCGCTGCCTTGGAAGAGTCACAGGCCTCCATATTCAGAGGTTGCTACTGGTATCAGGGAGCCTACGTGAAATCAGTGGGAGCTGCAGGCATTTAAGCACTTCTAGAAAGTATTGCCCTGGGGTCTGAAGTCAGGGTCCAAACATACAGGCACCCTTCTTTAGGAAAAAAGTGGCCATTTCTGTAGCCTAGTTTCCTCCTCTGTAAAAAGGGCTTAATGATAGCAATTCACCTTCATGAAGTACTCTGAGATCTACAACTGAAAAGGACAGGGAGTTGCACTTCTTATTTAAATCACTGCTCAGTTTAATTTGTGATCTACCCTAATTACATTGGGGCTCCATTCCTACTAATTTGTTACATTTCAGACATATCAGTCTGCTATTATTTTCCTACTAACTGTTTAAAGTAAGGGAGGGGACTTCAAACTGATGTAATTCTTGTTTACCTAAGGAAAACATGCAAAGGAAAGAAGAGGCATCAAACTACTGGCATGATGTCATTTCCAGCCACTATGTTGAAAGCTGGCAAGTCTGCAGCGGGAAGTTTCTTCAGAGGGTAGGATGTTCCCTATAATTGATTTATATAGAGAAAATATTCTGGACTAGTATCGCTCTGTGATCTTTACACTTATTCACTCTATTTTCCTTCCTTCTCCTTTACAGAAAAGACAGTGTTTGTCTCTTTCCTAGGGTCTGATCTAAAACCCACTGTGGACTTTGAACAAAGCCTCTAGTACTTCCAAGACTGCTATCACAATCATGATGCAAATAAAATAAGTCCTGTGGCACTTTAAAGACTAATAGATTTATTTGGACATAAGCTTTTGTATGTAAAAATGGGGTGGAAATCACAGACATTGATTGATTGATTGATTGATTGATTTAGTCCACCAATCTCCTAAGCTCTGTGACTTCCACCCCATGCCTCTGACAAAGTGGTTTTCACCCACAAAAGCTTATACCCAAATAAATCTGTTATTCTTTAAGGTGCCACAGGACTCCTTGTTTTTGCTGATGCAAACTAACACCACTACTCCTCTGAGACATGATGCAAATAGTGATGCCAGGGAAAAACAAATCACTTTCTAATGTAATGTTGTGTAAGTCATGTGACATACTCAAGTTCTGGTGACACATTTCTGACCTAACTTTTGGGACATGCAAAATGGGGTTGCAATCAGGATGTGGGACTGTGAGGGTGCAATAGCTGCAAAATTAGAATTGTTAGCACCAGCAACCCCAAACACTGGAAGAGCCACTCACACCATCCAAAAAACTACAAAGAAATCTGCAGACAATAAGTATTATGAGTTTTTTAGAAATTTCATTCCCATCACTTTCTTGACTGGGGTGATTTGTATAAAAACAGAATCTTTGCCTTTTTTGTAGTTTGTTGTCCTCTGGCATTTGCATTACATTGCAAATACATTTCAAACCCACAACCATTTTTCACACTCTCAGCAGGGCTGTTTAAATACTGTTACATTAGAACTGCTTTCTCTTCTGGGCTTCATCCATCAGTTCTAAAATAAGTGGGACCTCATTCTAATCTCTTCCCAGTTTTGCTTTAATGCAAGTCCATTGATTTCAGGAGTTACTCATGGTTTTTACCAGCATGAGGCCAGAATCAGGCCTTTAGAAAATTATAAACTCGAAACAGCATAACATTCTAATCCCAAACACTGGAAGCAGGAAATAGAAGAGGAGTCTTTTTGATCACATCAGATACTCTTATTGTGTTGACTTCAGCTAGGAATTTCAGAGTGCAGTGTATGAGGAGTTTCAAAGGCAGAGAGTTGACTAGAAGTCTAAAGGAGGATTATTATTTATTGTTTGTATTACAGTAGCACGTAGGGCCCTTGGTCATGGATTAGGTCCCCACTGTGTTTGGCACTGTACAAATAACAAAGAGTTCCCATCCCAAAGATCTTACAGTGTAAAGTATAAAGAAGAAATGGTGTCAGCTGAGACAGTATCCCATCTACAGTCCTTTTTTTACAGTATTATTAGTTAATTATTGTAGAAGCAATGGTAAAGTCACAGAGATTTAGGACTACAGGGGGATGAGCAGCAGGAGTAAAAATGGAACTTTTAAGAAGCAAAAATCTAAATTTAATGTAAATATCCCTATAAACAGTACACTGAAGGTGCATGTCAGCAGGTGAATAGTTTCAAGAGAACTACAGAGATTTTCAGAGATTCCCATGAGGCAGTAGGAATTTATCAGTAAATCCTCTATGTGTTTGCAATAGGACTGTGTATTTAAAGCCCTTAACACAACCAGTTATCTTGGGATTTGTATGTATTTAATGTTCTTTTGATATTTCAGGGAGATATTCAGGTGGCCTAACAATAGGTCAGATGTCACGGGTTCTCAACTTTTTTCTTTCTGAGTGCCTCCCCATACATACATGCTATAAAAACTCGGAGAGTAGGAGGGCCTCAGGGTTTCAATTGTGTGGGAGGAAGGGGACTGAAGGCTCCTGCCCATAGGGTACTCAGGAGCTCCAGGTTTTAGATGTACGGTAGCACGGCTCAGGGCTCTGAACTTTCTGCCTTGGGCCCCACACAGTCTAATGCCTCTCATGGTTTCCAGCCGCCTGATTGAAAATCTCTGCCATCATAGGTGACAGCATTTTTTACCAGTCATAGGCAATAAACGACCTGTGGGCTGGCTGTGATTTGCCATAGTTAACTCCTGGTGGACCAGTGGAGCTTTATTTACCTGTGCCTCTGCAGGAATGCTGGATGTGATTTGCCATAGTTAACTCCTGGCGGACCACTGGAGCTTTATTTACCTGTGCCTCTGCAGGAACGGCCACTTGCAGCTCCGTTGACTGCGGATCGCCATTCCTGGCCAATGGGAGCTGCAGGCAGCAGCATCCTGGTCTATGCTGCTTTCCACAGCTCAGTGGCCAGGAATGGAAATCCATGGCCAATGGCAAGTACAAACAGTTATACCGTGGATGCACAGGTAAATTAAGTACTGATGGCTTGTGTTGCCCACCTCTGGTTTTCACCCTATATTTCTACCACTCATAAACCTGATTTTGTGTTGTTTCATTTGCAGCAGGACTAACAGGACAAGGGGCAGGAGAACGATCATTCACAAGAAGAAATGTAAACACAAGCAAAACCCCATTTACCTGATCTAATTGAGATGAGAGCCATATGAGGTAAAAACAAAAAAATCAGATAATCCAGAGAATGGAAAAGTGCAAGGCTGCATCACCATCTAGTGGCCACAAGTGAGATTGCCCATTTGTGGACCTGCATGCTACTAAAATCTCCTCAAACATCATTGTAACAGATATTTTCCTTTAGCATCCTCTGTTTGGCACGCCGTTTTGTTTCAACTTTGAGAACATTATTGCCTCCCTGTGGCCAAAGACATTCTGTCTGGGAAGTATTGCAAAAGAAATTTTATATTCTCTTTTGCAATAGTAAAGACCCACTTATTCAAATGCAGAGGGGTACCCCGTCAGCACTGGTACTCCTACTTGCAAGAAATAAGGGAAGCTAAGCAAAAACAGGAGCGTTTTCCTGTTGACCTTCCATTGTGAGGACAGTATCAAAGCTCGGCTTAAGGTAAGTCGACTCCAACTATGTTATTTATATAGTTGGAATTGTGTACCTTAAGCCGACCTTCCCCCAGAGTGAGGGCCTGGTCTATAGGTGTGGATATTTCAAATCCCAGAGTGACACAGTTAGACCAGTGTAAGTTTGCCATATAGAAGTGGCCTAAGTCAGCCACTCTCTGAAAAGCCTGTTAAAAACCCTGAAATTATTAAATAATGATGCAAACATCCTCTTCAGCTTTAAGACCCAGATCCTCAAAGACTTTTAGGTTCCTAACTTCCATTGAAATCAAGTTTTTAATGGGGCAAAGGAAAGGGATTCCCCTGGCATCTTGTAATTTGTATGACTAAGGCCTTAATTATCTCCCAAAAGGATGATTTATCAATACCATCAGAAGTGATTTACTTAAATGCCTACAGTACTTAGCCAAGTTACAGAGCTGTATAACTCTGTGAGTCATCAGCTGGCATTTTGTCACTCTCCTTTTATTCTTTTTTCTCCTTTCTGATTATTGGAACTTGGTCTGTCACTTTACACACAATTGACATTTATCTGGCAGAATAATCGGATCTTCTAGCAAAATGACAGCTTTCGATTATGGACGATGCCTTTACAAACTTGGCTAATTGATAGTACCAAAGGTTTCATTACTTCCGCTTGTGCAATATTGATAACATTCAGTTGGTGCCTCTTTTGCACTTATATAGGCTCAGATCCACAGAGGTATTTGGAGCCTAACTTTAATCCTAATACTAGAATCCTAATATATTCTAAGCCAC